TCGTGTTCTTGAGGGCTCCAATTGCGACGGTTTCGCCACCCCTCAAACCATCTCCACCATTTACTAGGACGTAGTATTGGGTCTTAAATATCTACACGATAAAGATGTCACCCATCGTGATTTAAAGCCGGCTAACATCTTGGTCACCAATCAACACTACTGTGATCTGACCACAAGTGATCAGAGAGAAGTCTGGGAACAGCGCCCTCTGGTTTGTAAGCTAACAGATTTCGGTGAAAGCTAATCCACTAAGATACAAACCAATTTCACCCTGCAGTCCCAAACTGCTTAAGTTAATCGAGGAACACCGGTATATATGGCCCCAGAAATGCTGATTGAAGCGATTGGTTTACTGCTTGCATCGGGAGAAGATCTGAAAAGAGCTGACATTTGGTCTTTAGGCACGACCCTGTTTGTACTACTGAACCCTTGTGTCAAGTATCCCTACTTTGATGAGATACATGCGGCCCTAAGAGAGGGGAAAAACACCTCTGCAAACACTGGAGGATTTCTTAATAACGAGAAAATTGCCAACGGAGCCATGCAGATATCAACACAAGCATGCTACTGACTGGTATTTGGTCAACAAGATTTGGCTTAAGTGTGCTCAATTTGACCCTGATAAAAGGCCAAAGGTTTAAGAAGTGGTTTTCATTATCAGCCAGGGATCTACCATGTCTACTCTTAATATTCCCTTGAAGGTTAGTCATTTGTATTTTTTAAAGGGTACTATCTTTTAATCTTGTTAAGAACGAGGAAAATGTTCGTGAAAGGGTCATTAATGTAACCCAGCCAGTTAGTGTACCGTGTAGAGAGTAATTTTACAAAACTGCAGTTTATCAAAATATACCATTTTAACTTTCTGCAAACAACCTGGTTCTTTTCTCTCACATGATTTGAAATGGAAATACGTTTGACAAAGATATTTCGACAAAGATGTTTTAAAAACCATTTTTTTAAACGACAATTGTATACACAAAAAAAGTTAAAAACCATATTACCTTAATGGCAAAAAGGAATTTGGATAAGTATCTGTTAGGAAAGTGGAATATTTTCAATGTGTGGCGACAGTCTTGTTGTCCATGTCTCCTAAAAAAGCCCTCGAACATCAGATAAAACAAGCTAAAATAAACTTATGATGTTCAATAAAATTACAGTAAAGATTATTCATCGTTGTGTGAAAGTCAAACTTTATTCCTCATTGGTCAGTCAAGCCTCATGCCCAGAACAATGCGACAGAAGGGTTGCACAGATTGTATCCAGAGGTGACAAGGTACCTGACGAATTTCCAGATAATGATGGAACTAATGCCTGTGCCTTTCTATGAGTAAAATTTGCTCATGAAATACATAAGCTCCGAGAAGAAGCAACTGGGGGTAGTAAGAAGATGTGGCAAAATATTTGCGAAGTGGCAGAAAATGTCATCACAGAGTTCCCCCCTGTGGTACATCCATACAGGAATTGTGAGAAACTCTACAATGTACTGTCGGGGTACAAACTGATACAGAGTGTTGGTGCTGAAGTTGGCAAGTACGATTTTTCTGAAGAAATCTTGGAGAGTGACTTCGTATTCAGGGCAGACTAACCTTGTCCATGCTTTATCTTCCATGATATCGAAGAAAGATTTCTGCATTGCCATCCACACCTGTGAGCCATTGGTCTTCATAATTGGCCTTGCAAGCGCCTGCCTCTTTATTGTAGATACAATTGCACCGTTTCGCCATCTTCAACTAATAAAGAGCTGGGATTAATAGAGAGAAATGGTATGCTATCATTTAGGCACAGTTGTAGTAAAAGCTTCCTAACACCAACTTAAAGCCGAGATGCAGGTATTCATATACTGAGCGAGCATTATAGTGAGTAGTGGTATCCGCTCACTCAGGGCTAATTTTTTCGTATTCTCCCAACCTGAACTATGACGTCATCGGTTCTACTTAGGAGTGTTGATTTTCTTATCCTATGACGTCATCATTATCACCATAACAACCTGACCTATGACGTCATCAATTCGAGTTAGGAGTATTGACCTTTCGATCCTATGACGTCATCACTATCACCCTGACAACCTAAAAGTGGGTTGGGTTGGAATGAATATATATCATATATGTAAAAATAGGTAGGGTATTGTTCTCTCCACGTCCTATCATATATGGGAAACGACCCTTGATACGAAGCCATGTAAAAATAGGAAAGGTATTGTTCTCTACGGTGACGCGGGTACCCCCTAAGAGAATCACGTGTCATAGATTATAAAAAACACATGGTGCGCACCCCTTGCCAAAATTTGTTGACACCGATCATGGAGAACAAGAACACGTACTATCTTTTGGGTTACGATCAGGACGTGGTAGAAGAAACCCTTATATTATTGGCAGAAGGCGAAAAGCACCTGGAGCGTCCCATTACCACGAACGTCATAGAACTGGTACACCTTTCGCAGGAAAATAAGAAAGGAGCGAGACACGCGAGACTCTTGAACGAAGAACGGAAACGTGAAAAGGTCCGTGAAAATAAGAGACATAGTCGCGAGAAAAAGAGACACTTGAAAAAACTATTGAAAATGAAAGAGGTATGGTTTTTTTTTAACCTTTACAGATGGTTACGCTTTATGTGTTATTTGTGGACTCCCCGAACAATCATTTCCGTGTGGTACTTCATTCCATCGTGAAAACAACCATGGAAGTCATGAAAACGAGATTGCAAGTTTTGGTGCAACAGTGATTATCATTTATTTAATTTTACACAAAAATCATAATGCCATTTTTAATGTAACATTTTTTATTTTTAAAAAACAGGTTATTGAAGGACATCGATGAGAAAGGGGAGTACATTATCAAGATACAATTAGAAGAATGGACGTGTAAAATCAAAGTGTAATAAAAGTTACATGATGCCACACGGGTCTGGTCTTACTGTTGCGTGTGTAGCGTGTGCCCAATCGTTTCTATTTATCTTACCCCCTCTCTCACGATAGGCTTAATATTTCTTTCCTACTTGTCTTGTATGCGCTTGATTCGGTCCGAGGTGGGTCCTCAGGATGCGTTCAAATCTTCCATCTATCATGTTCGCTCTTGGTATTGAAATACTCTTAATCACGTATTCTTGCTACACGATCCAAACGTTTGCATTCCATCGTGGCTCTAAGAATCTGGAACGTCGCGTTTTATGCGACTGTTTTTAGCTACTAGACTGTACCACGTGGGAGAATATTTCACATGCGTCCAAGCCTCCATGTCACAAACTAATAACGGGACAGTTTTTTGGTATCGTTCTCTCCAGTTTGTGTAAGTAATCATGACGTCCCTTAGAGTGTGTCCCTTGGCTTGTAATTCCTTTCCCAAATCCACGTACTCAAACCAATGGGTGAAAAGATGAAGTTGTTTGTGGGCTCCTTTTGGGGAGGCATGGTGTTTTAGTTGCTCCGATACGGGGTCTTGGATGTCCTCATCGCAAAACATTAGGTAGTTGCTAGTGCTTTGAGGATCCCCATAATAACGGGGGGAATATCTTTTTTTTGCTTGTACACCTGTTGTAATACGTTTAGAAATAACCAAATGTCCTCGTATTCTCTGACCTTGGAAACGACCCTGTGCCTTAGTTCTTCGGAAAATCCGCGTCCAGATTCGAAACCCAAGATGTGAAAGAAGAGAATGGACGGTCGAAGGGTCTTTTCACGCTCGTCTACGTGGAACTTGTAGTACGGATGAGGACATATGGAACTTTGATAGTGAAGTTCAGCGGGACCCCTTTCGTCTCTATTGCACATGACATTCAGCCTTTCTGAAGTGAACTGTGAGTATCATTGCACCTTGTGAGAACTGAAACAATTGATTCGTATCCGTCTCACTTATCTCCGTTTCTATCTCCTCGATATGGGGATTACGTAATTTTACGTATTGAATAATGGGAGTGTCATATGAATACGTTCCTGTCAGGAGCGGTCGATACGGGACTTGTCTCAATAACACGGTGGTCTGATCACCTACCATGACGGGATTGCATAGAGAAGAATAGACGTACAAACTCCTGGGTTTGTTATCTTTTTTATAGGTACATGCCTTGGTGTTTAGGAATGTCCAGGTCACTTCGTGGAGATAAAATACGACGGCTTTGAAATTGAGGGAATAAGACAAGTCGTAGAGGGTGAGGGAATGTTTAAAAGGTCATAGACAGGCCTACACAGACTCCCCTGTGTGGTTTTACGTTTGCGACGCAAAAGCTTTTAATTAAAGCTTCGCTCTGACAAGTATGTCTTTGAGTGATTTACCTCTTTTGTATGATATAATCGGAGGCGTTTTGTAAATTGTTTTCAGCAGTGGCTGATTTTGGATGAGGTTCCATTCTTGCATCAGTATTTGTTTTAAATTTTTAACCCCTGGGTGGTATGCTGTCACAAAAGGCAAGATTTTGCCTGTAGGTTTTTTGGTTTGTTTTTTAAGTGTCGACTGCCTTGCGGCAAACGAGACCTCAGATAACGTTTTTTCAATTAGGCTTTTTGGGTAACCACGTGCTTCAAGTCGTGTTTTGAAGTTACACATGGCCTCCTGGAAATTTCTTTCCGAGGAGTTTGTTTTTAGAAGTCTGATAGCTTCTCCTTTATTAAAGCCTTTCTTAACACCTGGTGGGTGGCAAGATGAATAGTGTGTATATTGAAAGGTCTCGGTCGGTTTGTGGTGAGTTTTGACGTCGAGGATAGCTTCGTTTTGGAATCTTTCACCTTTGTAGACAACCATGTCTAAGAATGTGATTTCAGTCTCTGAGATTTCAGCCGTGAACTTTATACTTGGATGGAACATGTTAGCTTGTTCTATGAATAGATCAATGTCTTTGTCTCGTGCATCTTTGTAACGAACTATGGTGATTTTTGTGTCATAGAATCGGCTTAGGGTATTGTATACTTTGCGCACAGCTCGTAAAAGTATGTCGTCAGCTTTCAAGGTTTGTAGATAGTCTTGTAATAATGATTCGCATGGTAGACTGATGCTGGCCAATCCTACCTCCTAATTGCCCTCTAGATTGATACGGTGCGAGAGGCGATTTTTCCAGGAATGATTCGTATTCTGTGGATAGTATTTGATGCTACCGTCGTTGCTAGGTAATGTAACGTAGAAGTGATTTATCATCTTAGGACACTTAGCACACACGTCTGAAATGAATGGTGAGTATGAACGGACCTTCGGTGAACTGAGCTAATTTATTCTCGTCCATTTCTGTTATAGCTGTTTCGATGAAGGAGATGTGGTTGTTCCGGAGACGCTTGTATTGAATGGAATGCAGTTCATAACACGAATGACCTTTCAACGTAGGACAGTACTCCACTTGCCTCAATAAATCGGTCGTTTCATTTCCCATGATGGTTGAAGCACATAGCCACGAGTAGAGGTAGAGTGCACGGTGTGACGGACCTCTCTTGTACGTGCAGGTTACGGTACGTGTGAACGTCCACACAATGGAATCGAGATAGAATACAATTCCTTTGAATCCATTTATGGTGGTGTGTTTAAGACCGTGAGGTCTATTCTGATTTGATCTGACTGTCTTAGACTCTATTCATCCCTTACTGTCATGATGAAACTGCTTTGTTAGATTAGGTCCAGTGGTCAATGCCTGAGCATTGTTTGTCACGACGTCTCTGACCCATCCGAACTTATAACACATGTCCTCACGTAACATGACGTAAACATTTGTATCATGTTTTTGGGAGTTATGCTATCGTCTCCAATGTTTGTGGTGGTGACGAGACACTCTTCCTGTTCCTTGTTGAAGGATACATCAAATTGCTTATGGTAATTTGTAGGGTTTGGCTGAAAACCGCTGTCTAAACTATCGATGAGTAAGCGACGTTCGGTTTCAAATAGTGCTTGCAGTAAATCGTGTACAGTTTCCATCCTTTCTTCTTTGATGTCTTTGAAATACACTGTGGTTACGACTGTGACATTCCCACTGGTAGTATTGAAAATACATCGCAATGTTCTTAAAAGACCGTGGTTATCCTCAAGGATGGAGAGATATTCACTCAATAGAGATTCTGTAGGTAATGCAATATTCGTCACCATCCATGTCTAAAGGTACTAGTAACACGTTCGTCCATAAATTGTTCTTGTTTTCCTTCAACATCTCTTTCACCACAGGTTCTTTCAAGGCGGCAGGGGTATTGGGATCATCTATCAAAATCTGAGCTTCGGCTGCCACTCGTGCTGCCTTGTCCAGTAAGGTACTTTCTGAAATCTTTCCTTTGTAATAGTCTACCAAGGTACTAAATTCGTCGCGTTTTATCATCATGTACGTTTCCATAAGTTTTGAAGAGGAACGGCGATATGTTTCTTCCACAGACCATGAAACTACTGTTTGAAACGTGGGTTACATGTCACCCCATTTATGTCTATATCGTAGTTCCCTACTCGAAGATGGAATGAACCTCTACCTCTTTTCATCTCATGCAACAACAAAGCGTTTCATTCAGACCACTCCAAAAGCTACCACCCTTTTGATTCATGAGCACTTGACAACGTATCTTCAAGGAATTCTTGCATTTCGAAACTTCCCTCAGATTATGTTTGTGCTTTTGTAATTTTGCCATGATGTGTGGTGGTAAGGGGAAGTTATTCTTCAACATGTTAATGGTGAATTCACTCACGGCATTGATCTGATCTTTATTGGCATGCAAGAGTTTTTCCATTCGTCTGTGGTGATTCTTTTCGCGTAGAATCGATTTTAAAAAATCCAGATTTCTTGCAATACGTTTCATCGTCTCTTCTTCTTCTTGACTTTCTTTATTATTTTTCCCAAGGCTTTTTGGGCACCATACGCAGCTCTGCTGAGGGCTAAAGATTTGCCGCCTGATATGAGGGCCGGAAGAACAGCTGCCAATGGTATGAGACCTCCTTTTTCTACTCTTCTTTTTCGTTTTCTGCGTGCTCGACCTTTAGGGTGTGCCATCTGTTTAGTTCCGCACACTGGTAGAATTGCGCGTTACGGTGGGACGTCCATTATCTTTATAAGTTGTCGTGATGGTATTGGTGGTAGTAATGCCTGAGATTCTTCTTTCGGCTGCTGCATTTCTTTGATCGTTCAATAATATTTGTAACCTTCGTTGCAAATCATTTTGGCCCATGTTGTTAGAATCTGCATCGACATCATCATCATCGCTAGTAGGTAATATGCTAGGTATTTGCTTTCTCGGGGCTTTACCCACGCTCTTCACACATCCACGACCAAGTCGTCTGGGAGTGGATGATCAAATAGGTGGTGGGGGTGAACTTGGTGGTGGCGAGGGTCCAAGACTTAGATTCAAGGAACTCTGTGAACCCAATCTTCCTCGTTCGCTTCTGGCAGGAGAAGGCAGGGGCGACACCGAAGCAATCATACCTCCCAGACCGCCTGATTGAACAATGGATGTATTCAACAAAGGTGCGGGATTAGGTGAGTTACCTACCCCCACACCCAAAAGACCCATTTCTTCCAAGAGGTCGTTAGGATCCAAATCGGACAAATTTGCATTGTATATTCAAATGGGACTGGAATCCATTTATCTCTCGCTCTTTTTATCTATCTATCTATCTATCTCGCTCTTTCTATCTATCTTTCTGTAGCAACGGATACAACCTTCGTGTTTCAATAAGTGACTCAGTAATCTTCTATTGTCTGGAGTAGCAGGATGTATATCCAACAATAAATAACCGAAGGGACGTTCCGTACATGCGTTATATTGCTCCAACGGGTCTTTCCAAGTCATGGGATACATTTGAAGAGTGTGTGCAGGGCCACCTGGTCCCTAGGATGTTTGAAGGCCACTATGTATTGAGCATTCCTAGAGATGGTCTTGGCATATTTTCAGCGAGGGAACATGTCTTGACATAGATAAAACACAGTGACGTTCATGTGATGCAAATACTGAGTGAAGAGATTTAGGATATCTTTGTTGTCTCCTCCTTCGGCCATGAGATCGTCCAAGATCAAGAGACCCCCTTTTTTGTCCCCAAACCATTCTTTCAATTGTTCGTGGGTAGGTACACCTTCATGGAATGTCACGCCTTCCTTTTTTAGGATGTCAAAGGTCAGTTGCCACGACCCGTAACAGTAGACGATTCTTCTGGAGGGCGTGGTGAGAAGGTCCTCATTTTCCAATAAGAGACGTTTTAGGAAGGTGGTCTTTCCACAGTTGGAGGGTCCCACAACCAAAATGCTCGAAGAAGACTTAAACGTAAAACCTTGCTCTACACAACTCATGATTCAAATGAAACACGCGTGTTTTATTCAAAAGCTTTTATTTCATTCTCTACAATATCTTCCAAGATGTCCCCTACTTTGTCATCGTTGCTTACAAGATCATGTTCAGAAAATAACTCGAGAACTCTTCCGTACTTTTACCTCTTGCTTTATACATCAAATACACGAGAGCATAGTCTCCACAACTGGTTGTTTTGATCAACTGTATGGGTGCATCGTTTGTGTGCACGCACGATCATTTATTGAGCCACGCTATGAAAGGTTTCAAATGTTCGTAATGCGAAAAAGGAAGTGCGCTCCTGAAACGTTCTGTTGTAAAATTCTTTACCCGCATCCGTTTGTCATTTAAGAGGTTTTCTCCCTTCGGCTTGGGTGAGTACACATTGAAAGGCTACGGTGACATCTTTTCCAGTCTTCTTCTTAAGCAATTGTACCCATACATATTTGGATAACACATCAATGACAGTGAGAAGATAGCGATATCCCTTATTCTGTTTGGCAATCGATTGTACTTCTATCAGATCGGCCACCCATTGTTCGTACATGTCGAACACCAGAACTGGTTGAAAGGCACCGTGCCGCCTTCTGGGTTTGTGTAGGGTATGGGCAAGATTCTTTTCCAATTCTCTCTTAGCACGCCCGACCGATATCTTTTGAGCCTTGGCATACTCTGAGACACTCCCCAGATTTCCTACCACCCCAGGCGTAGAATAATCCAATAAGACTTTCTTCTTATAATCTTGATCGTCTGAGTCCTCTACTTTCTTCTTCTTCCCAGAGCATTCCATCTACTTAGACATAGCAACTTGAGGTAGAGGATGTAGGCGTAGTAGAGTTGCCAAGTGTTTGAAAAGTACTGAAGGTACAATTGCTGCCAAACGTATTTTGTATATCTTCCTTTGTAGAATCTCATAAAGGTCATGATGTGGAAGATCCTCGTATGTATAGGAAACCTGTGCGGGAGGACTTTGTTGCGAAACACGTGGTGTTCCAAGCCCATAGGTACCCAATCGTACAGTATAAGTTTATGCGGGGTTTTGTTTTCGTACACCACATCCCTGATCTTCATGCACACCCGGTGTGAGAGTTTATAGTGTAGGTAATAGAAAGCTCTTTCCATGATCAGCGTCTACCTTGATAATGATTCACATTGTCCATGACCCCCTTAAGAACTTGTTTACCCAGTAATCTTCCCAAGGTGCTGAATCCTGGGGCGGGTCTGGACAACAACATACTAACCACGTAAGCCGCTTTATCTGTAGCGGAGGGTCCTCAATTTAAAATTCTATTCACGGTAAGTACAGACGCCCCACCCTTTTCGGAAGTTCTCTTCTTCCTCTTCCTTTGTGAGGGTCTATTGCCACCACGTTTTTTACCCATGTTAGGATACAAAAGAAATGAACCAAGACACGATATTCACACATTTTTATTGTTCCTCTAACAATTCTTTCAATACATTGTCGTAAGGTCGGTCCATTAAAATACAGAAGAATCGAGTCACCTATTCGACCTTTTCCTGGGTCAACGCTTTGGCAATACATTTCAAAACATCACCAGAAGGTACACCTTCTTTAAATCGTAGTCCTAACGAAAACAAACAAAAAAAATTCTTTTGTACACTTCATCTAAGAGTTTGTCCTTCGTTTGGGGCGTGATGTTCAAAAAATGACAAAGTTTTAAGAGTAATGTAGATCGGCACCACACACCTACGTCCACTAAATCATCTTTTCCAATTTCATCTGTAAGAAAGAACAAAAAAAAACCTGACGTTAACAGTCTGTACAAGGAGATTCTTCTTTATAACACATCTTAGTTCCACACGTCTCACATGTGCGCACCACTCGATAGGTGCAATCTTTATGATGAAAGGTCACGTCTTTCATCATGGGTGCAATGAGTTTGGCTACCCAGAGTTTGACTAACAAGAGGTCGTTTTCGTTATCTTCGTCTTCATCATGTTTCATATCCTAACCGTAAAAAAACGAAATGGAGCATTTCCGTTGACATACACCTCCACAAAAGTCATGATACTTTTTTCTAAACCCTATCCCTAACCCTAACCCTAACTCCTAACCCTAACATCTCCGTGCAAATGGGGATGGGTTCGTTTCATGGTATCAGGGAACTCCATAGTGGTACCGTTCACCTGTCAGTGAGAACCTTCGGGGTGAGCCATGAGTATCTCTTGGGTTTTCTTAAAGGGACTTGTGTTCCACCATGCAAAGAGGTCACACTCTCTAAACGCACACCTCAGATACATTCTGTTTCTGTTCTTCTCAGACATGGAAATGGACAGCATGGGACTTCGACCACATTCGCACACCATTCGATCTATACGGTCCTACGTAAACCAATCGTGATCTTGGGCACGACACAGATCATAATACTTTTGGTATTCTTGGGCGGGACAAAACACGGAGCAAGTAGACATGCTACAACGAAGAAACACGTCCAAAGTTTCTTTTTTAGACTTGCGTTCTTCCATTCCTTGGGTAATATGAATGGGGCATGGGAATCAGGAATCTGCCTCCACACTATCCAATAACTCATCCAAAGAGGAATAGTGAAACGTACCTGTACCTTCGACACCTGGTACGATTTCACCTTCCTCTACTAATTCTTCTTCTTCTTCTGGTACTTCAGAGGGTAGAGCACTCGCAGAAGACTGGGGCACTACAGTCTCTCGTCTGCCTTTTTGCCGCCCAGGACGTGGAACCACTTTCCAATCTTTCTCGGTGAAATCATAATGGTCGATGTCCACGTACTGTTCGTCCTCGGGCTCCTCGTTAGCGGTTTTCTTGGCGGGTGCCTTCTTCTTGCTGTAAGGGACAGCTCGTTTTCCTTTGGTGAGCTTCTGTTTGTTGGCCATTTTATTATCTGGTGGTTCTTGCTTGCCTGCTCCGCAACGAATGTCTTGACAGGTAAATGAGGGTCACCTATATACCGCAGAGAACAATACTCTTCCTATTTTTAGATAGTGTCGTGTCAAAGGTCATTTTCCATATATGGTAGGGCAATGCGTCGTTCTATTCCGTATATGGTAGGCTACTGCGTCGTTCGTGCTCTTCCAATGACCATATTTGGTCATGCATCGAAGCGTACGTGATGTCCCTGCTATAAAAGAAAGCAGGTTTTGTGGTACGAACGTCATTATGCTATCATTCTACTCTTATTTCAGATCGCGGTTGGAGAAGGAAAGAGACGAAGCTTGGGAAGACTAATTGTGCCAGTTGTTCAAGTCGTTGCGCCTACGAGATGCTAAGGATGACGTCCCCCATGGAAGTGGGTATTTTGAATGGGCGTGTCCTGTACACTGGGGGTGCCGAAGGTGTGGATGCTCTCGCCGAGGAATTGGCCAGAAGGTATGACATGAGTGTTTGCGTCATCATTCTGCCCACTCACTCCCGTGCCGTTCGTATCACGCCTTTGACGGAAAGCATGTTGCACGAGGGTTTGCAGCATGTGTTATGCACCAACAAGACGTTGCAACGCTCTCTACCCAATAACGTGTTAAAGACGAGACTGTTACAGAGAAACTATTGGGTGGTGAGGGATACCAATCTCATGCTGGCCTCACACAAACCGGTGGTACCAATTCGACAACCCGCAACAGAAATTTGTCCCATGTCACCTGCCCTACCTACACCCCCATCAGTACCGAAACGAGAACGCGAAGATGTTTGCACGTTCGTTGATGCCCTAAATCTCTCGGCCCCTCTAAATCCTCGGGATGCGGTCTTCGGAGGTCGTACAAACGCCTTACGACTCCACCACAAGGTAGACGAGACTCATGGGGAAAAGATTTGTTACTTCGATTTCATGTCTCTGTACCCGTGGGTCAACAAGAATGGTAAGTACCCTCTGAGACATCAAGAGATCATCTCTTAACCCGTTCATACAGACCTTTCTCGTTATTTCGGCTTAGCGAAATGCATGGTGCTTCCACCCCACGGTCTCTTCCATCCTGTGCTACCTTACCGTGACGCTGGCAAACTCACCTTTCCGCTCTGTGCCTCCTGCATGACCGAGGAAATGTCCAAACTCTTTCTGGAGCGTACTCCTGTCTGTACTCACACGGATTAGGAACGCCAACTTGTAGGGACCTTGTGCACCCCAGAACTCCTCAAGGCTATTGAGAAGGGATACACAGTTGTCTGCATACATGAAGTGTGGCATTTCCCGACCACTCGCAGAGGGCTCTTCAAAGACTACGTGAACACGTGGCTCAAGATCAAGGAAGAGGCCAGCAGGTGGCCGAGTCACGTGGGTGACGATCCCCTGAAACGTCAACGACATTTGGACGATTACAGAGACAAAGAGGGGATTGAATTGGACCTGGAAAAGATCGAGAAAAATCCCAGACTGTGTACGCTGGCCAAGATGATGTTAAACTCCATGTGGGGTAAATTTGGTCAGCGTGCCAACAAGACACAAGTCCAGGAATTTGACGACCCCCAAAAATTTTCCACCTTCTGTAACAGCGACACCCTTCAAACCAAGTACGTTGTTATACAATCAGACGGTCGGGTGGAAGTACAATACACTTTACAAGAGGAAGACAAATCCATCTCGCCCAACCTGAACATATTCGTGGCCTGTTTCACGACCTGTTGGGCTCGTCTTAAACTCTATGATGCTTTTGACATCTTACAAGAGCGAGTACTGTACAAAAACACGGACTCAGTCGTGTTCCCTTCCACCCAGGGAATGCCCGGGCCACCACTGGGAGATTATCTGGGGGACTTTAAGGACGTATTGCTGCCAGACGATTATATAGTGGAATTTGCCTCCGGAGGTCCAAAAAACTACGGGCACAAGACCCACAAAGGTAAAGAGGACTGTAAAGTCCAAGGCATCACACCCAATAGTCTTGGGAAGAGATAAGTCAATTTTGAAGTCCTCAAAAACAACATGCTAGAAGACTTGACTTCCCCACTGGAGTCTGGCAAGGCGCGCATCACCACCGTGCCCATACCATATAAAATCGTGAGGAACACCCAAGAATACCAATTGTCCACCACAGCCCAACAAAAAAAATACAAGTTGGTCTACAACAAGTGCGTGGTGAATCCTCACACATTCCAAACCTTCCCATATGGGTATGAGCGGTGGGCAGAAGAGGACGCGCACGTGACTGAACTGCTCACTTCTCTCTAATTCTTATTCTGACGGTCACCTAGCTTCATCTCACCTATTTTTACAAAAAAACAAAACAAAACAAAAACAAAACAAAAAAAAAAATTGGAAATAGTCCCAGCGACAATGAGTCGAGATGACTACTCGATGATACCCAGCCGCATCTTTCGTAGCAATCAGGGAATCAAAACACAAGTCGAAGGTAACCAACCTCTTGAGGCGTGCCCCATTGCCACGGGAGATACGGGTTTAATGCTCTCACACGAGAGGGGGACTGGGAAGTAATTTTTAAGAACTACGCATGCGCATTTTTTAGGTTACCACGTGGATTGGAAAGATCGAAACGTGACATATATATATTCACTCGAACCCAATCCACTTTTAGGTTGTCAGGGTGATAGTGATGACGTCATAGGATCAAAAAGTCAATACTCCTGACTAGAACTGATGACGTCATCGTTTACGTCATAGGTCAGGTTGGGGGAATTCGAAAAAATCAGTCCTGAGTGAGCGGATACCACTACTATAGTGTATAAAGTTAGACTGAAAGCACGGTTTATATTTTCCTTAAAGCGTCACTTATAAAACTGGTGGTCAATTTTTGTCATTTAAGATTAGCCCTTTCCTGTACAAACCATGAAGTTAAATATCTTTCCTTGGTGCAACTGTACTCATTCATGTCTAAACAGAGAGCTTATTTGGTTTTACATTTCAACGAACGCAGTTACACTAAAATGCTAGCTACCCTTCTACGGTAAAATTATATATTTTTTACGGAGGTTATCCACTGTTTATTGCGGGGTTTGTGAGAATTTGAAATGCATGAGAATTAAACTGTATAAATGCAATGTTGCCTTACTTGATATTGTGAAATTCACAGGTTATTGCTCACTGATTGACAACAGCAGTGCCAAAGAAAGTGTAGGGAGGGCAGAGCTATCTGTTCCAATGATTGTGCTCAGCAGTAGTGATGGCTACGACGCAGTTCATACCACAGAAAGCTATATAAATATTGGCAAAGGTCGGGTAGAAAACGAACCTGTGAAAAGTTCTGTTAGCATCAGTTTGGCATCCATGGGGAGAGGTGAGCCTGTGGATGAACTGGATATTACAGGTTCCAGAGATGACGCTATTTACAAAAAACTTGCGCAGTTTATAGAGTCTCAACCGTGCAGAGCCAAAACGAATGCATTCTCTAAGACCAAAGTTAACCTAAGTGCAGCTCACGAGCTGCAAGAGGAAAGGGAAGATGATAGCGGAATCCCTTCATGTTCCAAATGACCCTCGAAAAGGTCCATAAGTGCCAAAAAAATTAAGCGAGATTTTTGTTTCTCGGTTATTAACCTTTGTATTCTCCATCAATATCTTAAGAAAACAGGAACACAAAGTTTTTTCTTTTCCGAATAGAATTTACTTGTCAGATAAGAAGAGAATTATTACATGCTAATGATAGAGGACCCACTGAATTAATTTATTTGTTTCTTTAATTTGGAAACGATTAGGTCAACTGAAGTCAAAATAGAATCGCTGTTACAACAAAATAAAAAAAGGTGACGGCCTCTGGTATCTTCTTCTAGCGGCTTTGACGTGGCCGAAGAAGATGAGCCTGAAGTTAGCTCTGACAATGATAACTACAATCCCTACAGCATTGAAAACAACTCCAAGAAAGCTCAGGAAGGTAAAGAAAGATTAGAAAAGAGAAAGGAAACAGAACAAACAAACAAATATGAAAAGGAAAGGTAAGAGACCACAGTTTAAATGATGAATTTTGAGAAGTTGGAAAAAAGTCTTTAGAGACCACAAGTTTAGTTTTCTCTCAACCGCCCAGAGCCTTTGTGGTTGATTCAATCGATGAGAATCGCGATTTTAGAAGAAACAGACGGTATTGAAACACCTTACGTGTTTAACTTTATGAAGAAGTTTTGTATAAATCCTTTATAATTGGTAGACGTTCATTTAAGGTATTTTGAAACTTAGTTTCGTACAAAACATAATGTATTTCTCCAGAATGATAGAGAAAATGGCTGCAAATAGAATCAAGGGTTTTTGCTTATCTGTTTCGTTTGTCCTTTTCTCTGTTTCTCTGAAGGGTCTTTCAAGAAAAGAAGTTATAGATATCTGCATTGCAGGTAATTTTGACGCTAAGAAAGTTTGCCGCACGGTGCAACATAGAGTTACCGAGTCGGCCATTTTTGTCATCGATCTAACCATCGTTAATGAAGGAGATTTGACGATGGATGGTAACGGAATATACGCGCATTGCTCTTATCCCACCGAAGTTGTCAGGGTAGAGTTTTCGAGTGAATCTCGTATAAAAAGCGTCAGCAAACATAAAAAAGGAAAAAATCCTGAAGGAATCCACATTTTTTACAGATGGCATGCTTCTCCAGACGAGTTTTGCCGTATTATAACTAAGGTACATGACCACCACAAAGAGGAGCTTGGACAATATGCTGTTTTACAGAAAAAAGTTACAGAGGAAACAGAAAAGCTATTTTCTAGAAAGGCCCATAGAAACGTGAAACATCACAAAGAGGCTTTTTTTCAGACAAAACCAAGTGTCCTTACGAGGATAAAACAGTATGCTGAAGAGAATCCTGCAAAGCACGTAACCACAAAAGTAGAGCAAGATGCAGGTGGTGTTTCTGATGTCACATCTGTGTCCAACATCCCATGTAACAGAAAACAAGTATACAACCAGGCCAGCAAAATAGAAAACCGCATTCGTTCTCGGAGTACAGGACCACAAAAAGCAGCCGATTTTACCAAATAAGTTACTCAACTGCAAACTTCTGACTTTGTAAAAGATGTTTCATTTGGTCTTCGCCACGGAAAAGATACCTCCCCAAACACATTCGCAGCGAAAGATTTGCATATTGAATAGTTAAAAATTTTTTCTTTAGAAACCAGTCCCAAATCTCAATGCGGTATTAATATGACTTACAACTGCAGACCCTTCTATTTGACAACTTTAACTTTCCCTCATCCAATGTTTGTTCACAGAAATGCATGCGATAAACACCCACTTACTTTGGCAGGCATCATGACAAGCACTAGTAGGGGATTGGAGGATTATGAGTACCTAGCAGGAAATTTAAAGAGAAAGGGCATCTGTAGTCTAACCTATGGAACTGATAGAGAAACTCCTTTGGAAACGGGCTTTGAGAAGGTATTCCCAATTCATGGAACTTCTTCATATTAGTGACACTAATATCCATCTCCAATGTTTTGACCATGTCAAAACAAACATATTAAAGAAGTTAACAGAATTGAAGGTACCATCACCAAAGCAAACGCCAATGGCCAGAGGCATTTACCATGAGGCTTTCTTCAAGTGAAGGTCGTCTTCGACCTTTTTCTGAGAGTATGAAGAAATGCATGTTATGACCTGTTCGCGTTGCTGCTGGCTTTGGAAACCCGCCAAACAAGGGACAAAACCAGAGAACTGAGGGATACAACAATGTCTTAAAAGAGGAAATTTCCAGACAGAAAACTGATCAGGTGACAATACACGATCTCACTGAGAAACACGTAGTGCAGCCTCATTTAGACAAGCCGGTTAAAGCCATCTAACAGATGGGAGAATATCGTGTGTCCACAGACTATAATCACCTTGAGGTAGATTCATTGCAGTAGACACAAATGACATCTCACTAATGCGACACAAAAACAAAAAGAGGTCTTTGGTTGTATCCTTCCCAGCAGAAGGAAAGATGAGGCCATCACTAGAAAATTGTCCATAGGCCTTGTCGAGTGCCAGCTGTCACTGCAATTTCCTTCCTATGAGCTTAAAGATATATGGAGGATAGAAATCATACTGTCGCATTATAAGATCATAGAACTTGCAAATACAAAATTCTGCTTCACTGAGTTTGATACTAGTTACACAATAGAAACAAATAACGAGAAGATATCGTGCGACAAGACCTGCAAATCTTTTCGTGATAGTGGTGGTTTGTGCTCTCAAGTCCTTGTTGTTGCTGAGAAGATTGGTATGCTGCAAAGTTTCATCGCCACTTACAAGAAAGCTTCTAACAAAATGGGAAAGATAATAAGCGAAAACCTCAAATTAAAAAGTGATAAGAAGATAATAAGCGAAAACAAATTAAAAGTATTTCAACTCTTGTTTCTACATCAGTCTATTCAGTTGTTGCAGTAGAACTCAGCCAGCTCAAATTTCCAAGGGAGACAAAAAATTGTTCGAGTTAGCTGATAGTAAATGACTGAAAAATTGGGCCAAGGGAAATTGGATCTCGTTCGAGTTATCGTGGGGTTCGAGTTAGCAGGGTTCTATTGTATTTTAATTGCATTTAAAACTTTCTTAGGTTTTGGGCTTCCAGTAAATTTGCAATTTCTAAAGCATATGTAATTCTTTTAAGTAATCAAATGTGTACTGCTGACAATAGAATGGCGATAATTTTCATCATAGCGTAAAAATAATTCATTTCGTAAGATAGCAATTCTTCCAAAATTACTACTTGACGAAATATATTTTAATACGGTTTAGGAAATAAGAGGTGACCAAGATCAGGAGTGTACCATAATGTAATGTTTAAAGGTAAATTTTTGACCCGAAAAGAAAGACGTTGTTATTGAAGGATAAAAATATTTTGTTTTGCAAAATGTTATCTCTCCAAAACTACTATTTTGCAAAATGTATTTAAATACGGTTTATGAAATACGAGGAGGACAAAATCTTAGTGCATAAACCAAATACATATTTTGCGACACGAGAATGGCAACATCGT